CAGGAGCTGGGCAGAGCAGTAGAGGACAGGGGGGCCTAGAGATGTCTCATTAACAGGGTCGCCATGGGTTAAGATTGACACGAAGGCAGTTAACAACAACAAACCTGACATTCATTGGTGGTCTCACATCCAAGTACTAACCAGACCCAATCCTACCTAATTCCCAAGTGAGTAGGGGTACTTCTAAATAATAATAATAATAATAATAATAATAATAATAATAATAATAATATTCTTATATCCTGGCTTTCTGCCAAGACAATCAAGGTGGCTCACATAAAATAAAATAAAATGTAAATAAAACATACTCTGCATTAAAACAATAATAACAATAATAGGAACAATTGAGCCCCCGTTAAAAGAGTTAAATACAATACTAAAATAAGAACATAATATTAACATAGCGAGTCCTCTAGAACAACAGTGGATGTATAAAGAGGAGAGGGCACAGATTAGATTGGAGTGATCTATTCAGAGAAGACCTGCTGGAAGAGATCCATCTTGGCAGCTTTTTTAAAGCTGTCTAAGCTGGTTATTTGACAGATCTCTTCTGGCAAGGCATTCCATAATCTGGGAGTGGCAGCAGAAAACGTCCTCTGGGAGGTTACTGTTAATCTGGTTTTTATCGGTTGCAGTAAATTCCTCCCAGAGGATTTGAGGCAGCGGGGTGGATTGTATGGGAGGAGGCGATCCCTTAGGTTCGATTCAGGCCATGTAGGGCTTTAAAGGTAATCACCAACACCTTATACTGTGCTCGGAAACCAATAGGCAGCCAGTGAAGGGATTTCAAAATGGGTGTAATATGATCACTCCTAGATTTACCTGTAATCAAACTGGCTGTCATATTCTGTACTAGTTGTACTTTCCGGACTAGGTATAAGGGTAGCCCCATGTAAAGTGCATTGCAGAAATCAAGGTGCATGTACTACAGTTTCTAGGTCCCTTATTTCTAGGAAAGGGTGCAGCTGGCGTATCAGCCAAAGCTGATAACAGGCGCTTCTGACTGTCGCATTCACCTGATCTATCACGTAAAACGACAGGTCAGTAGGGGCCCCCAAACCAGGTATTGGGTTGCAATCTCCAGTCCTGGATGGGGTCACACTCTCCTCTAAGGACTGTGTTCGCAGTCTGAGGGTACAATCCAGTTTAATCTCTAAAATGGGTTTACTGGACACCTCATCAGTCGGTTCTGCTGTAATCCCAGCATTCAAGTCGGCTCCTATCTGAGAGATTTTATCTGCAAAGTAGTTGTTAAAAGCATCACAGCAAACTGTTTTCTGGTTAAGTAGAGGGTTCTGCACAGGTAGAACCTGTGTCAGTTCCCTTACCACCCTAAATAGTTATGCCGGACATGACCCTGCAGATGCAATACATGCAGAGGAGAAAACATTCTGCACTGCATTTATTGCCTCTTTATAAGAGCCAAGAAACTTCCTATGCTGAGTCCTGTCAGATAAGAGTTGAGATATCAAGGGAAAACAATGCTCACACTGCTTGGTTTTCATGAGAAACTTTCTGACAATCATAATTTCCCATAGATGTATATGGTTGCAAGTTGGTTTGGCCTGAGAATCCAAGAATTATGCAGTGTGTTCCCTTCCCACCTTGAGTATGTTTGTCGAAAAAGACTAGCTTAGGTTGCCAAAACACATGGTTCTTTAGCTTCACCTCTCAAGCAGAACACACTTTTGGAATGGTGCAGCAACCTGAAATGCCCCCGATTAACTTCCTTGTGAAAGGATGATCTCGCTCCTTTTTCTGTGACTCATACTGTATGCTGTATTGTCTACAAAGAGAATAAGTGACCAGCTTTAGGTTGCCGAGTGCATGATCCCTTTCTCTCTGCATCTCCACAAGCCCCACCTGCCGTGCCTAAGTGCAGAGAGAAGGTGAGCAAGAAGAAGGAGGCAAGAGAGACTTTCTCTTCCTTACACACTTTACCACCTATATATGAAAACATGTCATTCAGAGGGAAAGATGACGCATGAGAGGGACATTCTTCCTCCAAAGAATCTCCCAACTATTTATTTTTCCCAGCAGGGAGACTTAGCAAATAATAGTTGCTACTCCCTTCAATTGCTCCCCTCCCCCTCTAAAATGCTCTTATCTGCTTGTGCATCCTTTCATTTTTTATGATGCAATGGGAGGAATTGGGCACAGCCATCCAGAGAGAGTAGTTAGTTGCTCCTTCAAGGAACAAGTACACGTTTGTATGCACCCCACTGAGTTATGTGGACAACTGAACTAGTTGCACCAAACATCACCACCACACCAGCCAGAGGGAAAGCACAAGGAAATGAAAGAGTGAGTAAGAGAATGAATCGGTTGCTATTTCAATGGCTAAACACCAGCCAGCTAGTGGCTCCTATATCAGATGGATGGTAAATTCACTCCAGGTTTGAATCTGGGATTTAGAGTGTTCTCCAGGGTACAGAATCTATGTTCAGCACAGTGGATAGCTCCTTTAAAGCTAACCTAAACCTGAAGAGGATTAATTTGTCCACTAAACAAGCTAACAAAAGTGGTGGTTCATTATCTGGTTCTAGGCAGCACCATGAGCCCAATCTTGTTTGACACAATGTCCAGAAAAAGTGTGGTAGACATAGAAGTAGGACTCAAGGGAGGAAGGACTGGCAGAGGGATGAGGGTTCCAAGGGGAGAACTTCCCAGATTGAGGCATCTTTTCCTCCTTGTTCTCTGACAGTTTCTACTAAAGGAAAGTGCCAATTGTTTGTGTTTCCTCCAGAATTAGAGTCTGCTTAAGGTTAAGCATGCCCCCCCCCCCATGGTGTGTAAAGTCATGTCTATAGTTAGGTCCAGCATGCTAACCTCACAAGCATGCATATATTTTTGGCAGTTCCAAAAAAGTAATCAAAAGTGTTTAAAGATGCAGAGAGGAATCCTTGTAACAGCACATTTGTCACTGAGAGAAGAAATTGAAACACTGGAGAAGTAGGAGGGTTTAGGGGTAGATCACACCAAAGGAAGTTTCAGAGGGAGGAGGTTGTGATAAATAATAATGATGAAAAGAAGCCAGAATTATACATTTTAATTAGGAATTATGATTTGTGATGCTTAAAAGACAGCAATTTAACATACAATACTCTGCATGTATAAATCAAGCTGAAGTGTTGCGTCATTGACACATCAGGAACTGAGTCTGAGTCTGCAGAATTTGAGGATTCATGAAACTAAAGAGGCTTACCTACACAGATATCATTTTGGCATTAGGCAAAGCCTTTTTTCATACCCCTTTCAACATATTTAGCTAGTAATTGATTTTATGCTTTTTGTTTTGTTTTGATTTTTTTGATTTTGTAGTTTAATGCTGATGTTTTATCTTGTAATTTTGTAAGGTAACCTGAGAAAATCTTTGAAGAAATGGCAAATATGGCTATAATAAAGAATAAATGAAAATAGAAAGCCTACTTTCATCTTTCAGCTATTGTGGTAAGCCCATGACCTGAATTTTAGAAAATATGAATAATATATTTTTATAAGCCTATAATCAACAGAAATGTAGCATTTTTGTACTCTATTGCTTTTCCCCTCCAGTTTAAGAAACACTGGTTTGGTCCTACAAGTCTAGCCACTCAGATTGACAGATAACTAGTTGATAAAGTCTTATTAGAATGCACACATGGATGGAGTATTTGTGAATCAATATATCAATACTTGTTTAACTACACAATAACTCCAATTCTGGCAAAGCATGCATTCTGGGAAACCTCACTGGACTGATAAACCAACTTTTTCTTTTTCAGGATCATTTATAGATTACATGACAAGCAAGCATTTTGCCTGTAATATCTTTCCTAGCATTAAGATGTATACAGTGATGTTTAAAACTTCATCATATGAATTTCTGCTCAACATACAGTTGTTAGATCTGGAAGAGTCCTGACACAGGGGTGAAAAATGTGTGCCTCCCCTTATTCTATGTAAATTATTGAAGATTCTTGATTCATATCGAGTATGCCATATTAAATTGTTTTGAGATCCTGTTTTTCACATCAGTCATAGAATCTAGTTTCAGTAGAATTATGCAATTTAGGACAGTGGCCTTTAATCTGAATACTTCCCTTTGTGAGCAAAACTCTTGGCTGAGTTATAAAGATCGACAGGACTCCCTGCTCATTCAGGAAAATATGGTAAACAAGGAGTGGTGGGCATGACCTCCAGTGTAATTAGTTATTTGTTAATATTGAAAGAGTCTTGTAAACCACAGGAAGGTGGTACACACACAGTTTAGTTGCATGCTAAATAAGTGCACATACAAAATCACATTCTTTATCATCAATAACCTGTCACCCCTCTCTTCATTCACAGTGATTATCCTGATAGTTTCAGTTCTAGTAAATTAAACTATTCTGCAAGTGTAAGTGAATCAGGAGGGAATGAGATATGTTCAACACATAAAGAAGAATACATAGAAAATACAAAAGAGTCTTCTGTGGGGAATGGAATGGGAAATAACCACAAGAGAGGGATGTTGTTTCAAAAACCATTACCGAGAAATCTGGAATAGCAATCCATGAGGTGTCTGTAGAATTATATTGATGCAATGTGGAAATAATTATATTTGACTAGAAGTGTGCAAGGGCAAATAAAACAGAGACCAAAGATGTTGTCATAGAAGCAATATCATCTGCTATTACTCCAAATAAAATAGGAGGCACATGTGTGTTCATGTTAGGGAAGGAACACACAGACCATAATATACCTTATGTTCCTTCAATCCATGACAATGTCCTCATCAACAGGAGCATTTGCATCAACCCAAGTCCTGGTATAGGTATTCCCACTGACTCAAACAGAAAGGGGGGATATTATCATGGGATGTCTTATTTATGTCTGTTGCTGAAACAAAGTAGTTAGGGAATTGCCCTCTGGAGATTGCAGGATGCATCTCAATCTTGAGAATATCCTTTCTTGGTCCTCTCAGATGGCTTTCCCCCTCACATTTTTTAAAAAATTAGGCATACAAACAGTGAGTGAGAGCCTGAATGGTGTAATGGTTTGAGTTTTGAACTTCAACTCTAGAGATCAGGGTTCAATTCACTGCTTGGTTGTGGAAACCCATTGGGTGACCTTAAGCAAGTCACACACTCTCAATCCCAGAGAACTTGTGACAGGCTCGCCTTAGGGTCAGCATAAGTTGGAATCAACTTGAAGGCATACAACAACAACAATAGACA